AGTTCCTACAATAATTTCATCTTCAAATGTGAAAAAATAATAATAATAATAATAAAATATTGATTTATTCAATATGGTTTAATTTTCAGAATCAAAATAGATATTGCATTATTATTTTTTGTTTTTTACAACATATTTTTTCATATATTGAAGGAGTTTCCTCGGAAGATTGATGTTGACCTGGTGACAGTCACTGTCTACATCTCAGACTGCAAACCTGTTCGATTCCCACTGTCTTTATTTGTTGTCATCGATATACAAGATTGGTATGGTTACATATTATTTTGTATGTGAGCAGACATGTTGGTTGACTCTTGTAAAATATAAATAAAAAGTGATATATATCCCTTTAAGCTTAAATTTTTAGGTGATACGATCATGTAATTTTATCTAATGAAATCTTTTTCTACCCCAAAATGAGAAATGGCCACCGCGGCATAGATTTGACCCACCACCCCTCCTCACCTCTTCGAATTCACTTCAAATCAATTTTCGAGTGATTTCTTTAATCTTGCCCTGACTCTAGGGAAACCCAGCTAAAATTGGTAGATAGTTTCATCTGGGTCGTAAATTTGTCAATTTGTGGTTGTAATTGTGCTGTGAATTTTGGCATTTTTTATTATGATTTTTTTTTTCTTTTCTTAATGTTTGGATTGGACCGGATTGAAGTCAGAGATTCAACTATTTTTTTTTTTGAGAGGATATTAGGATTTTACTGTTTTTATTTTGGGGATTTGAGATGATGATGGTGGATAGAGATGAGGGATCACCGGCGTTTTTTTTTTTTTCGATGCGGTGGACGACACTGATGATGTTCTACTTGATGTTGATTCTTTGATTAGTACTTGGATAGTTCTTCTCAAGGCCGCGCAACCAAGTGGTAATGTGGCTAATGATCTTCCTTCTGTTGATAGCATAAAAAGAATCCATACTTCAACAGATGTGTTGCCATATTCAAAATTTTTCGTACCTGCTAAACAACTATAAACCTTGGATTCTGCAGAGAGAATTTTAGATGATTTTATTGATCTGATTGAAATTATGGTGTTCTAGAAAGATAAAGGCTTGAAACTTCATCACAAAATTAGAAGCATGAGTTCTACTAAGTGCAATGACCCAGTAAATGCCTCATTTTTTTTTTTTTACCAAAATGAAGATTTGCGTAAAAAATATATTCAAATGAACTAATTTTGGATCTTTCTTCACAAAAGTTGAAAACTCATTTGCTATAGATGGAGACAAAATCTCCCTTGATATCTCTAATACTTAGTCTAGTTCAGGAAAAATTGCTAGAGCAAATACTTTAGATATATTATCGGAAAATAGTGATATATCGAATTTTCATTTGGAAGATCAATTATTTTTCATAGGTATAATTCATTAGGATATTTGATGATATTTTTTATTCACATTCAAGAAGAAATTGAAGAAAAAAATTCCGACTCTAGGGTGAATTGTCTTCCTTTTATAGTTGGTGAAGCTCTCAACAAAAACACTAATTTTTTTTTGCTCAGATTGTTATCCAGAATTGCGTGTGTTCAGAGTAAAAAAGCTTAGCGGCTTTCTATCCGTTTAAGGGGAATATTAGTTCCATACAACTCAAATATGATATTCTGAAGTTCAATAATCTTTTTCATGCAAAATATAATTAGAAAGAATTCATCCAACGTGGAAATCAATGTTGAAGATGATTTTCTGATTTATGTATTTTGAATGATATAATCACTCAATCACGCCCAAACTATGGAATGAACATAAAGATAATTATCTAATCATTTCACTTGCCTTCAAGAATTCCCGCAAGCTAAGTAGATGTATATTCAAGGTTTATACTGAATGATGAATGGGTCATTTTTCAAGTTCCTCTTCAAAATTTTTCACATAATATCAGAGTTTATTTTTTTTCCCCCTAAAATAGAAACAATTCATCGATTCACATTTCTCATGATACATTCAACCTAAAATGTACCCTAAAGTCTCTAAAATTTTGAGATTTTATTATCTCTAGTTGTTAGTCTTTTTTATTTTGATTATGTTTAGAGTCTTGATTTTTGTATTTGAATTTGAGAGTCATATTTGAGTATCTGTTTGTGATCTATTTGCCACGTTTTTGCAGAGTCATATTTTCGACTGCGTTGAGTATTTTGTTTTCGATTCCATTGAAAGTTTTGTTGTTTCCTACTCTAATTCAATTGAAAGCACTACTTTTAATTCTAACACGGTGGACAATTGTAATTACGTCATCTTCGATCTCTCTTTGCAAATTCAAGTTATTTCTGCAACACCACTTGAGTTTGAAGGAATTTTGAAATATTTTAGTTGTTTTAAATTTAATTCTATTCATTAGGTTTCGTGGTTATTATTTGAGTATGTTGAGTTTATATATGGGCAACTTCCACGTATCTCCCTAATTCTATATTCATATTCATATTCTTATTTACTTTATATACATTAATTTTATCTTCTTTACTCCCTATTTTTAAAAATTTATTCTTTTTCACTCCCCTATTCATGTAAAAATCCCATAGTATCCTCATTTAATTTCTTTATCATTTTTCTTCTTTTTTTAAAGTACACTGTAATTTTTATAATTTATTTCTACTTTTTATTAATTTAAATATAAAATAAAAGATTACAACAAAAAAACAATAATTGAAAAGAAATAAAATATAATAATAATAATAATAATATATAATACAAAAGTATTCATAACTCTTACATTATAATTATATGAAATATTTTATAAGAAAAATATTGATTTCAATTAAATATAAGTATGAGTAATATAATAAACAAGCTGAAAATAATGAATTTTTATTTGAATTTTTTTTTTCTATTATAAAAACTAATGTATTGTAACAAATTTTGCAAAAATTATTGAGTCATAAGTAAATAGATTATATATACAAAAATTTATTTATATAAAATAAATAGATTTGTTCCATAGATAAACAAATAATATAATTAAATATTATTTACCTAAGGATTTTGGATAATATTTGATGGATAAAAATATGAATAAAAAGTTATTTAGATGGTAAAATAGGTAAAAATGTGTAATAATTATAAGGGAGTGATGTGGAATAAATAGAGAGCTAAATAAAAAATATTATATGAATAGGGACTGATAAGGAAAATAATTTAGGAATCGGAGATTTTTAAGATAATTAATATCTATTCATAAGTCACTATTTACAATCAAAATCAATCAACAAATCTGTTTCACATATTTTAAGTTGTGCACAAATTTTAACCTAGAACAACATATGTACGTGCACACTAGAATTTGGTCCCTTCCTACATAATATATATTGATGCCTTTTGAAAGTCTAAGGAATATATTGTGAAATAAAAATAAATAATTTTAAATGAAATTCAGTGGCATTTTATTAAATGATATTTGTATATTGTTCAATTTATATATATATATATATATATAATATGATTACAAAATTAATTAAAGAAGCTATTGACTAATTAATGTGTGTTTCTTTTGATCAAAACTCACAGTTATTTATTACTCTCTCTGTCCCAAATACCGTGTCTGCTACATCGTAGACACGGTATTTTAGGAGGGATGTAATTAGAAGATAATTAAGAATGTATTAGTGAAAATAATTATCCTATAATATAAATAATTATAAATTAATATTAAGATAACTAATTAGTTTAATTAAAATTAAAAAAATTAAAATTAGAAAAATTAAAATGAGATTAAAGTGTGTAATCATTTTTTAAAAAATGAAAGTGACATAGTATGTGGGACGGACAGAAACGACAACATGGACATAGTATCTGGGACGGAGGGAGTATTTGAATTCTATTTTTATTAAAAAAATAAATATTTTTTTCTCTTATAAAATATCTAATCAAACATTATTGATATATCAAAATTTTATTTTATATTTTTTAAACCAATCAAAAGAAAACAAATTAAATTAAAAAGATGAATATATAGTGGAAGGGGTTACGCGTAACCAAAGTCCAAGTGGGACAGTGACACTACTTAATTAATATTTTGTTATTAATTAATTAAGAATCAGAATTCACAAGGTAGGATGACAACTAACTATGTGTTCATAAACTGCTGTTTGCCAGTTCCACAATAAATGCCTCTACCCGTCACTCATTAATATTGTGGGTTTGGGTTTTTGGTATAAATTTTTGAATTGCAAAAAATTGAATTTCCATAATTATTTAATTTGATATAAATAAATATTGATGTTACACTTTGTTTTGAATGTATTGTAATATAATACATAAAAAAAATAAAAATTAGTTGATATATTTTTTAGTAAAAAAAAAAAGAATTTTAATAATAAAAATTTTGGAAAAATCCACAAAAAGAATACAAGAATAGGTGTCTGTAATTGATTTGCTTCAGAGTTATTATTACTGCCTCAATCCGAAATTTTATATATATATATATATATTTGTTTGGACATGAAAAATTAAAAAATAATAATATTGTAATATTAATATAAGATAGTTAAAAGAAAAAATTAAAATTTGATGAGGTAAATAAAAATATAGTAGTTACTTAATTATTATTTGTTAAAGCAATCAAGATATTAATATAAATAATTAGGCATAATTTTAACCGGCAGTAAAAAAAAGAAATTAGTAATATAATTTTAACGAATTGAGAAAATATTATTTTTATATAAGGTATTTGTCTAGGACGAAAGGAATATGTTTGTTTTTAGTTTGAATTCGATTAAAATGTTTGAATTTTTTATTAAAATAATATTTAATTTAATATTTTTGAAAAATACATATTTTACTTTTAAAAATATATAATTCAAAAATAATTAGAACATCAAAATAAAAAAATATAAAAAATCCCAACTTTGAAGATCTCATCACAATGAACAGACCTAAGTCAAAACACGCTCTTATCGAGACCAAACAATCAAACCCCACTCCCACCCCCCTACGCCCCCCCCCCCACCCCCCCGCTCTATATATACACACATGTATAGTCTTACTCTTTCAAGGCATTTTCTTAAACTTATATATATATAGAGAGAGAGAGAGAGAGAGGAATTAGTGATTAGTGTAGAAGCCATGGCTGCACCCTTGTTTGCTTGGCCATGGCAGTTTCTTGGCAGCTACAAGGTAAGGTTTAATACATACATACATACATATATATATATATTTATTTTAATTCAAAAACTAATTAATTAATTAATTAATATGAAGGTGGGTATTTATGGGATTTTTCTTGGCAAAGCAATTCACGAGTACTGTGGAATATGGCAATGGCAATGGCAAGAAACCAATTGGTGGCTCCACATATTCATGGTCTGTGTGTTGAGACTGCTAATCTACCAATTATGGACCTCGTATGCCAACATGCTTTTCCTCTCACGCAATCGAAGAATTCTCAAACAAGGAGTCGATTTCAACCAGATCGACTCTGAATGGCACTGGTAATCTTATTTCTTCCTTTTAATTTTTTTATTATTTCATTATCCATCTTGTTTGATCGTTGCAGGGATAACTTTATCATTCTTCAAGCCCTGGCGGGTGCCCTAATCTTACAGATGACTACGTTAATGGAGGAGGACGAAACCCTAACCCTAATTTCCCAAATTGAGGAGGTTCCTGTACCTGTTACTGTTCCTGTACCTCTGTGGAACAAATTCGGCTTCGCGGCGGCGGCGGCGATCCATGTCGCCATTTCTGAGCCACTTTTTTACTTTACTCATAAATGCTTTCATGGAAACTATCTCTTCACCTGTTACCATCATCTTCACCACTCTTCACCTGTCCCACAACCCTACACAGGTAATTAGAGCTTTATTTGTTTCTGATTTTTTTTTTAAAAATTTATATTTTATTATTATTTATTATTATTTTTTTTCATAAAATATCAAATTAATTTGTTATATTTTATAAATAATTAATTTTTATTTATTTTTAAATAAAAAATTAAATAATTATTTAATAAATTCAACTTCCTAACCCACCGGTCAACACTATAAGTAATCCTAAACATTTATTGCAGACATACCTATCTATTTGAAATCAATATTTTAAATATTTTAAGTGAAAATAAAAATATCCTATAATTAATTTTAAAATATCACACGAAAATTATTCACTTAATTTAATTAGTACCACCATTAATTTCACTCTTCAATTCTTTTTTCTCTTAAAAAAAAATAAAATTTCTTTTAAGAAAAAATACACCATTCCATATATATTTATATGATATTAAAATTTTATTTTTTAATTTTTACTCAACTTTACTATTTTCAATTTCATTCAAAATTCCCAAAAACCCTCCAAATATATTTAAACACACCATCAATTAATTCTTGCCTACCTGTTACTGTTTCCTCATTTAATTCAAACTCCATAATTGGTAAGGAGGGAGTTATTGAAGGAAGGCTTTCAACAATTTTTATTTCAAGTTTCAACAATAATATTGTTATATATTTATTTATTTATTAATTTTTTTTTTTCCAGCTGGACATGGTTCTTTCTTGGAACATCTGTTAATGACCGTTGTAATCGGAGCTCCGGTGGTCGGGACCTTTTTACTCGGCCATGGATCGATATTATTGATCTATGGTTATGTATTGGCCTTCGATTTCATGAGATGTTTAACCCATTCTAACGTCGAAGTTGTCCCTCATCGCCTATTTGATGCCGTCCCTTTCCTCAAATACGTACTTTGTACGCCAACGTAAGTCGACCTTTTTTTGGACACAGACTCGACTCGAATAATTTATTTTTTGGACACGGATTCAAATATTTTTATTAGAAATTTCGGGGAAAAATAGTGAATTTGTCTTATTGATCATTAAAATATAAAAAACATATTCTATAGATTCAAATTTTAAGTTATGGATAACACCAAATCTAAATATAAATCTACTAAATCTAAAACTGAATATCTAAAATTTCTCAATAATTTTTGTTTGCGATTTAAGGGCATGCTTACTTTAATTAAGTAATGGTAAAAAAAATAAAAAATGCATGTGAACATTTTTTGTCTCATTAGGATATTAATTGGCACTTTTTTAATTTGTCAAGTTGATTATATATTGTTTACTTTGCAAATGATTCGACTTACAACTTTGTGATATTTGGCTAATTTATGGAATGGTTTTATTTTATTTTATTTTACTTTTCAAGTTTAGACTTGGTTTTGCACTATTCATTATTCTCTTCTTCTAAATTATTAAATCAAGAAACTAATTTCTATTTAATATATTGTAGGAAAAAATTAATTTTTCATTCATAGCTTTACATCAATACTATCTAAATTCAAATTTATTTTCTCAAACTCTAAACTTATATTCAATTTTTTTAAAAAATACACCTATAGTTTATGATATGCACGAGATGAAAATACAATTATTTTCATTAATAATATGTTTTGGTTGTTTTGAAAATAAAGAATTTTATTACACTTTAATTATTTTTTTATATATATAAAAATGGTAGAGTTTTTATATAATATTTTTAAATAAGAATGATCTTGAAATAATATACAAATTTTTAGAAGGAAAAAATTAATAAATAATACGAAAATAAAGTGGAAAATATAAATAAATTGAGTTACTTCATTGGATGATGCTAGAATTTACTTTTGTCAAAGAATTACAATAAATTTAGGCTTGTTCATATCCTAATATTATATATATCTTCTTTTCAATAATACTAATTAATTCATTTTTGTTTGCTCCACAGGTATCACAATTTGCATCATGCTGAAATGGACACAAATTACTGCCTTTTCATGCCTATTTTCGATGCATTAGGAAACACAATGAACCAAAAATCATGGGACATGCATAGGAAGAACAGCCTTAATTCAGACAACAACGGAGCGGCGCCGGAGTTTGTGTTTCTAGCGCATATTGTCGATTTCTCGTCATCAATGCACGCGCCATTTGTGTTCCGATCAATGGCCTCGTTGCCTTATTGCACGAGAATTTACCTGCTGCCATTTCTGCCGCTAACCGTAATGGCAATGCTGGTCATGTGGGCTAAGTCGAAGACATTCTTGATCTCGTTCTACAATCTTCGCAACCGGCTGCATCAAACTTGGGTGGTTCCCCGGTTCGGGTTTCAGGTACTTGTAATTGTTTGTTCGCGTAATAAAAATTTAAAACTTTTGGATCGGGGATACGTACACTGTGAAAAAATAGTTTATGAAAACTGAAAAATTGCATTATATTAATCACATAAAAGACACTCGATAGACTCAAATTTAAATAATTTAATCTATGGATAAGATTAAATCTAAGTCTGTTGTTGACTCTAAAACTAAATATTTAAAATATCTCAAAATACACAACGACTGATTTTGACATTTTTTGAATTGCATTGCAGTATTTCTTGCCTTTTGCTGCGGAAGGCATCAATAAGCAAATAGAAGAAGCCATTCTTAGGGCTGATAGATTGGGAGTTAAGGTCATTAGCCTTGCTGCTTTGAACAAGGTAATCTCTGAAATTTCTTAGCTACCATGTTTTTAATTTCATGGTTTGGTTCTGACTAAAAATTATTTAAAATAGGTTGTTATTTGAGTTTTTTTTATTTAAATAGTATTTTAATATTTTTAGGATGAATAATATTATTGAAAATTAAGCTAACGACGAATAAGATTGATTTTAATTTGAGAAAATAAAATAAAGTACTTGGTGATTACTTATTTTATATTTTTAGATGAACCGATTTGATGTAATATTTTATATAAAAAATAAATAAAAATATAAGAATATTTTTTTAAAAAATTATTATCATTTTTGTTATTCTTTACTTTTTTTTTTTTTTGGTCATAAAAAAAAATATTTTTGTTCTTTTAGTTTTTTTAATATAAAAGAAAAAAAAATATTTTTATTCACTTATTTTTCTTAAAACTCATATCCGATTAAATGGGTATAAATTTCAACGATGGGTAGCATAATTATATGGTAAAAAAAAAAAGAAAAAAAGAAAAAGAGAACATAATTAAATTCTAAAAGAAAATAATTAAATTTTTGTACTATTGTAGAATGAGGCGTTGAATGGAGGTGGGACACTATTCGTGAACAAACACCCGAACCTCAGGGTTCGGGTGGTTCACGGGAACACATTAACAGCCGCCGTTATACTTAACGAGATCCCTCGCGATGTGAGTGAAGTATTTTTGACAGGCGCGACATCCAAACTTGGAAGAGCCATTGCTCTCTATCTTTGCAGAAAAGATGTCCGCGTACTAGTAAGTTAATTTGCACTGTTAGTTCATATTTTATATTTGTATTATTTTTACATCCATGTTATGTTGTAATTAATTTGTGACATGTACTATATGAATTATTTATGTGTTATCAATTTATAACATAAGATTGTTGATATGAATGCAGATGTTGACTCTATCAATGGAGAGATTCCGAAAGATTCAAAAAGAAGCACCAAGTGAATGCCAAAAGAATTTGATACAAGTCACCAAGTATCAAGCAGCCCAACACTGCAAGGTAAAGAAATATTTAATATGATATAAATAGTCGACAAATATAATACTCCATTCGTCTTAAAAAAGATGTCTTATTGAGAGTGGACATGAAAATTAATGAATAATAGTATTTAATCAAAAGTTAGTATAAAGTAAATGGTAAAATGATTTTAAAAAGTAGACTAGAATAATAATTAGTGGTAGTTTGAAAAAAGTAGGAATAATTTTATTATAAAGTGGGAACCACGATTACTGTATAACAAAACAAGACAATTGTTTTGAAACGGACGAAAATGAAAAAACAAGATAATTCTATTTGGACGGAGGGAGTATTTTAAATACAAAAAGTTTTATATAATACTTTAAATATTTGATGTAATAATTTTAAAGAATCTTTTTTTTCATAACTAATAAAAAATTGAAGTTGAAAACATAAACATACATAACCTATACAAGTTCGTTCGTATATTATTGGCTTTCTTTTAACACATATATTTTTAAGTCATGATACTATTCATTCCTTCCGTCCAAATTATGGTGTTATGTTTATTGTATACATAAACATATAAAATGTAAAATACTTTTTTAAAATTAGAAAATAACATAATATACGGCACTGATGAAAATGAAAAGTGTAATATAATATGTGAGACGAATGAAATATTTTTTTGTCATTTGTATAAAATAATTTAATAATATTTATTTATATGAAATCAAATATTTATTTTTATAACAATATACGATAAATTGGCATGTATGGTGCAGACATGGATAGTCGGAAAATGGATCACACCGACACAGCAAAGGTTTGCGCCGCCGGGAGCTCACTTCCACCAGTTTGTGGTGCCGCCGATACTGCATTTCCGAAGGGACTGCACGTACGGCAATCTGGCGGCGATGTGCCTGCCGGAGGACGTCCAAGGCCTCGGCTCATGTGAAGTAAGTTTTCATTTATATATATATATATATATATTAATTTATGATACTATTTATCAATAGTAATTTTTTAAAAATATTGCTATTAATTAATTATATTAGAAATTAATTTTTTTATATAAAATATTATATTAACGATAATTTTTTATTTAATATTTGATAATTTTTTAATAATATTGATGACGTGGCAGTACACGATGGAGAGAGGAGTGGTGCACGCTTGCCACGCTGGAGGGGTGGTGCATTCGCTGGAAGGGTGGGCCCACCACGAAGTGGGACCCATAGATGTAGAAAGAATCGACCTCGTGTGGGAAGCTGCAATCAAGCATGGATTGAAGCCTGCAACGATGACTACCTCAAATCATAGATTCATACATAACTAATTAATTGTAATTAATTAATTAAGGGTGTGTTTGTTTGGAGGTTTGGATTTTGAGTTGGGATTTGAATAGTAAAAATTTTGAATTTGAATAGTTGTATGATGTGATATAAATAGGTGTTGATGTGATGTTTTGAATGTAAAATTGATTTTTAGTATAATATAAAAAATGAAAAATAGGTGTTTGATTTGATATTTTTTGGGGAAAAAATTGGATGAATAGTAAAAGAAAAATCCAATCCCTCAAACAAACACACCCTAAGAAGATATATATACTCCATCCTAAAAGAGAAAAGATTAGTGAGCAAAAGTTATGTCAGTTTCAATCAAATATATTTATTTATTTTTATCTAATTTAAAAATAATTATCAAAATTAATTTTATAAAATATAATAATAATAAATCATCAATTTTGGTTAATTCAGACAAACATGCCCAGTGTTATTAACCGTTAGAATTTGGAAATAATTTACGAATATTGATTATCAAAATAAGCGATAAAACTAAATCTAAATATAACTGTAGTAAATCTAAAACTGAATAGTAGTAAAGGAAGGAAGAAAGGATCAATATTGATGACCAAATATTAACAACATCTTTTATTCATTCTAATTACAAAACTATTATTATTATTATTATTATAATCAAAATAGTAAACTGTATATAAAATCTTAATTATCTTATTATATAGTATTAAATGGTACCATGGTGTAGGGATATATGGATTCATAATCATGAAATTAGGGGTGGTAATTCGGATCGGCCTGACCCAATTCTGAAATAGACCGTACAGACACGGCCTGATTTTGAACCAGGCCTGAACAAGTAGGCCCGAGCACGATTCGGTTTGAAACCGAGCCGTGTCGGGCCAACCCGTTTTATTTTAATTTAAAATTAATATAAAAATTAATTAATTTAAATAATTTCCGTGGAAATTGGACTCATAATCCATTATAAACAATATAAAATTTTTACCATTCAACTATATTAATATACAAGTTTTTTCTCACAATTTCATTAATTAATATATATATATAAATATATTAAATATTAATTTAAAAAAATCAGGTCGGGCCAGGCATGGTCCGACCTTCATAAGCTCGGGCACCGCCGGAAAATATCGGGCCTAATTTTGGAGGTCCAAGCACGATATTTCGAGCTGAATTCGAATCGGATTTTTGAGTTGTGCCTATTTTTGCCAATTATACGTGAGATCGTGAGTTCAAATCTAACTATTTCAGGTTTTGTCTTACACACAAATGCGATCACATCTCCTATGATTAATGAGCAAAATTCAATCTTTGAAAAGCTTTAGCAAGAGGGTTTGGTTTGATTTGGTATGCAAAATTTAATAGTATAATAAAAATAAAATAAAATAAAACAATACTATTAAACAATGAGTATTTGATTCAAGTTGGGGTGACTGACTGTTTCTATACACACAATCATCACTGAAAGTTGACCTTTACAATATAAATACCCATCTCTATCATCTTCTTCGCGTTTCCTAAGGTTGTCTTGTCTGCAACAAAATTAAACCCTATTTTAAAAGTCAACGACCATGGCTAAAAGATTCTTCTTCTTCTTGAAGAGTTCTCTGAGAATTTTGAAAGAATCCATAAAAGTAATCCTTTCCGGAAGCTGCTGGAAATCGATGGCCATAATCACGACACTCTCCCTCGCCATCCCCTCCATCTTCGTCCTGCTTTTCGACATCCTCGTACATTTCGTCCTAGGAGTCCACAAAAGATCATACCATGATTATGGCAATAATAATAATAATAAGTCGAAGATGTTGTTAGTTATGATGTATACTCCTCTTCTCATTGCAGCTGAAGTCGCACTCTTGCAAGCTTACTTCGTCTTCTCCGACCTCATAAGCCTCGCAACCATTCACGCCTCGTCCATGGCCTATATCGGTATCTATTTTTTATTTTTTATATTACTTTAAAAATTAAATATTTTTTATTTAAAATATTGAATCAATTCCTATTTATATTATGTCAGAACAACTATTTAAATTCAAAAAATTTTATTATTCGAATCAAAACCCTCAAAGAAACACAAAATCGTGAATTTTTGCTTTTAGATATGTTCATGAAGTTTTTAGGGTGTGTTTGTTGATTTTTTCTTCCATTATTTTAATGGTGGTTTAGGTGTGACATAGTGTATAAATATAGTTGAAAAGTATATAATTGATATATTGTAGAATAAAATAAGTATATTTATGATTTCAGCTGAAATATAAAAATAACAATAGTTACAATTTGTGTTGGATTATATATATTTATTAAAATTGCAAATTTTATATTATTGATTGTGGATCAATTTAAACTAGTAAAACTTGATTGCAGACAAAATTTGATATGTATTATATAATATTTCTTTTCTAAATTTATAATAAATAATATAAATTAATGTACATCTTTTAAAAATTTATTTTATAAATACTTCTTTAAATGAGTATGAAAACATAAACAAGGTTAATTTGTTTTTAAAACCTTTTTAAAAATTCAAAAATTTCTGTCTAAATAAATTTATGAAATCAAAAAAAGTATTTGATGCGGTATTTATCAAAAATATTAAAGAAAAAAAAAAAGTATGCATATAAATATAATTTTTTTATTTTATATCACAAAATTTTAATTCATTCTTTTCTTCTTACATTCAATAGGTACCAGAATATCATTGTCCGATCTTTACCGCCTAGTCGGAAAATCCTCGAACAAACGCCTCACCGGCTCACAAAAATCGGGCATTATCCAGCTCGCCGCAATAGCATTTTTCGTGTACATTTTAATTATCTATAACAAGATCAACCTCGTCACGATATGCCTATCCATTTTTCTATCGATAGCATTCAGCATTCGCAAAATTCGTGCATCGATTGTGGCAGCCGTGGCAATGGTGGCGGCGGTGGTGGAGGAGATCGACGCCGGGGAGGCAGCGCCGGAAAAGCTCGTCGACGGGCAAATTTGCGACGGGATGGCGGTGATCTTGTGGGATAAGGCATTGTTGATGGGTAGCTTTGTGGGGTTGTGGGTTGTGAATGGAAACATAACATTGAAGAATTTGAAGGTTTATGGGATGCTTTTCCTCAATGTCCATTCGGTTCTAAGGGTTTTCCGATCGGCGGCGTGGGTGGTGCTGTATTTCCGGTGGCGGCAGCGCGGCGGAGATGAGGTGGTTGGTGATCATGAAGACCAAGAGTGTGTGGATTAGTCTATGAATTTGTTTGGTAAAGGATATTTTTTGATGAGATAAATGTGTTTTTAGTTATGTTATTTGTTGTTCTCTCCGCTCTACTTTTTGTGTTCGATTTACAGTAGATTTAGTAATTTAGATAAAATATAATTAGTAAGTAATTACAAAATGTATTAATAAAAATAGTTATTGTATAATAAAATTAATTATAAATTAAGATTTAAATATATAACTAAATGGTATAGTTCAAATTAAAAAATTATAAATTATAAAATTTAAAATATTATGAAAATGATTAGTTATTTTTCTTAAGAGGAAATAGAATAGTAGACGGAAAAAGTAGGATGAATGGATTATTATTTTGGATTTTAAAGTGAACTCGTCATAAAAATAATACTATCTCCGTCCCGCAACAAGAGCACCACTTGTTTTTTGCACGTATTTTTTAAATATTAGTATTATATTGGTTTATAGTAAAAAAGACAAAAATATCATTATTAGTATAGTGTAATACAAAAGTAATGATATTTGTGTAATTTATTATAAATTGTAAAGGTATTTATTATATTATGTTGGCAGTACAATTATCAAATTAAAAAATAGTACTCTTGTTTTAAGACACGAGGAGTCCTATATTTGACCTATAGTTCATAAAAAAAAATTGCTGAGTATGAAATATTGTCACATGTTTCGAAATAATACTTTCAGAGTTGATAATACGGCAACTTTTAACACCAAATATTGATGTAAATTTAATTTTATATTTAATAAAATATGTATATTTCTATATAATTTTTACTTAAATATCATGCATTAAGTAAAAGTTTAGTTCAATGGGCCAAATTTATGTTAGTTCAAAATTATTGGGCTTATGGTGATAAAATAAGCCTGAACCTTTGGGCCTACAAATTTATAGTGAAATTTTTAGCTTTAACCTGGTAAAGGCTTATATAGTTGTGTTGTGTTTTTTTTTTTTTTTTTTTTTTTTTTTTTCAAATTTGTACTATTTATCAATTTTTTTTTAAAAAAATCAAATTAAATATTTATTTTTTTATATTATATTAAAAAAAATACATTCAAAATATCACATAAATACCTATTTATATAACGTTATACAACTATTCAAACTCAAAATTTTTATTATTTAAATCTCAATCAAAATTAAAATCTCCAAACAAACACATCCTACGTATCTATGGTCCTTATCTTTTTTAAAGAGTGTCCTTGATAAAATTTTATCTCCTATTGTCATCTGAAATACTTCCCCATGTTCTTTTCATCCATAGTAATTATTTATTTATAAAAGTAATTTTGTCTTTTATATATATATATATATTTTATTAAATAACTATATTTGTTGTCTTTCACATTTAGAATTGGATTACTTCAAAACTTCTATTTTCTATTCATCCTATTTCTCAACAAGAATTTAAATTTTCTTTTCGTGTTAAATAATTAATTGTAGCCCTTGAACAAGGAAATGTGATTTTACTCAATTTTATTTATTAATGACGACTAGAATTTTAAAAAAAAAAATACTTTTACTAAAAAAATAAAAATAAATACATTTGAGTTGGGCATAAAAAATGATAAATTTATTATATGACTCGAATAAATGAAGTATATATTGTGTGAAATACTATGTTATCTTGTCAATTCATATACTCCCTCCGTCCACCACCAATTTATTTATTTTGTCATTTTAGTCTATCCATCGCAAATGTATTCATTTCTTTTTTTTTTAGTAAATGTACATTCCACTAAAATATAAAATTATCCCATCATTTATATAATATTACACAAATGTTATCAAATAACACCACTTAATACCATAAATGTTAAGGGGTATAATAGTCTTTATATATATCAATTGTACCACATATCAATATAATATTAATATACTAAAATCTACGAGCAAAAAGTAAACGGATAGATAGGCGGTGGACGGAGGGAGTATATATTTTTATTATTTTAAATATAAATGTTGTATGGTTGATTTATATGTTACATATTGTCAGCTTATAATTCATGCACTATGAGTACGATACTTAATATCATTCAGTAGATATAGATATAGATTACTCTCTTTATTATCCAAATTTATTTTTATTTTATTTTTTGGTTGTCATTTCAATTTATTTTTGTTTTTTTTAATAAAAAAAATATCACATTTTCTATTTAATTTTTTTATACTCTAAAAGGTAAATTATTTATTTTTATCTATTTTTATTTAAAATTTATGTCCGATAAAATGAGCAGACAAATAAAGAATGGAGAGAGTATAAGATAAAGGCAAGGAAGCAGTAAATAAAAGTGCATGCATGCATGCATATTCTTACTTGCCCTAATTGGATAGGGCTTTATCACATTCACTTTATTTTTATTTTTATTTTTATTATTTTTATCTATTCTATCAACTTTGGTCATTGTATAGGCTACTCAATTATTAAAGTTGGTTGCCCAATTTATATATAAAAAAAATATAATAAAATAAAATCACGTACTTTTGAACCATTGGAGATATTATAGGGATAGTTATTATATACATATATACTTCTATTCCAAGTTATTTTATTTTTTTTGTAATTCCTTTCATCACTTTGTCACCATCACTTTATTTAATGTCAACGATATATTTTGGATGTTTTAATTTTTGTTATTCTTTAGATAAAATTGTTGGTGAATGTAATATTTATTGAGAATAGAATGAATGTATAACAAATTTAACAATTTAAGAAAAACTCAAAGTGGATATAATTGCAAAATTCAAAAAGAAAAATCAAACGGTAACATCCCCAGCTCGATTCTTCCCAACATCTATCTGAAATTGGACAACAGTTAAAATTCAGCACCGTACTAACAGCACATCGTGTGTTAATATATAACACGCAATATTACTACACACACAGCACATCATACATATTTATATAATACAAATACAATATATGATATGTATAATCTCGTACAGCACATACAACAATTGATTTTAGTATAACACACGATATAAGTATACACTACAACCCATATTTTTACTTCATACAACACACGTATTTGTTTAAGACAAAAATATATATATTGTATGCATCTTCTATCGATGCTGATTGAAAAAGTCAACACAATAATAATTTTTTCAAATCAGCACTGTAACCCTTCTTCTGAAATTGAGTGTACATATTATAGTCACATAGATCAATACAAGTGCTCGTCACCAATGAAACTACATGTAGGGAACTGAAAGATTCATTTCCAAAATTTTTTAATACTCTCTCCGTCCCAATATAATGGTTTTGTTTACTATTTTTGTTCATCTCAAAACAATAGTCTCATTTCCATAAATAATCATATCACCATAAAATTATCCATATATTTTCATTATTATTACACAATTGTCATTACTTTTTACACTAATATACTCACAAGGGCTAAAAAGTCATTTATTCTTACTTTTTACCGACTACCAATATAATATTAATATTCCTTAAATCTCATGTCCAACACAACAAGACTATACTTTTTGGATGGAGGGAATATATTATTTTTACCTTAGATTGCATTTTTAACAACAATAATCTCCCTCTGCCAAAACCCTAATTTTACCGATATAGCACAGCTTGAGGTAGGAGATAAGAATTTATTGTTTTATCATTTTAAATTAAAATCAATATTATTTATTTATCACAATTTTTAATAAAAATATATATTTTTTTTTTCATAAAACATCATATCAAAATATTATTTAAATAAAAACTCAACCAATAAACTAGTATTTCAAATCAATTTCAAAGCAAAATCAATAAAACCTTGTCTTCTCTTTATTATTTAAATGAAGTTCTTCTCCATTAATTCTAGTGCATAATTTTCAGGGTTTTTATTGATGGGCCTTAAAAAATGAAAAATGCACTTTATTGTTATAAGTAATTTAATTAATTATTTTTAAAAAAAAAACTTCATCCAAATCAGGAATATTTATTTTCAATGAGTTTCAATAATGCAAGCAAATTAATTTTGGTGTCAATAATATGACAAGATTGTGGTCGTAGATAAGCTTACGTAGAGTTACAATGAATCTTACCTTTTAATGATTAAATAATTAAGGGTTTGTTAACAAACAAATCTATCTATTTTTTTATTTTTATTATTAAGCAAAATTGTCCATAACTCCATCGTGGTTTCGAAACTCAGCGTAAATTCCCCCTCTACTTTAAAAATTGTATGACGTCCTTTTATTCTTTAAAAAATGTTACATGAAACCACTTTGTGGTTTCGAAACTCAGCATAAATCTCCATTTTACTTTAAAAAATTGCATGACGTTCACTTATACTTTAAAAAATATTGCATAAAACCCTCCTACCATGCAAAACATATAGATAGGAAATCATCTTCTTATCAAATGATGAAAGTTTCATGGTGGTGGAGTTTCATGCAACGTTTTTTAAAGTATAAGGGGATACTATGCAATTTTTAAAGTATAGGGAGATTTTACGCTGAATTTCGAAACCAAAGGAAAATTATAAACAATTTTACCTTATTATTATTATTATTATTATTATTATTATTATTATTATTATTATTATTATTATTGTTGTTGTTGTTGTTGTCGTCGTAATCTACTCCATAAATCATGGTTTGTTACTCACGCATAGAGTGTTTTGGTCTTTTTTTTTTTTTTATTTTAAGTTTTGATTTAAATTAATTAATGATTTGAATAACTTAGGTTGAAAAAAAAAAAATACTTTTTTAATCCGCCAAACTTATTCTTATAGTTGTCACTCTTAACTCCAATTACTACACATATCTTTATATTTTTTTTAATAAAATATTTATTTGTTGGCACTCCTTTGTAGATAAATAAATAAATTATATATATCTTTAATAGCTTAACTTTTTAGGTGTGACGGTCATTTATATCATCTAAAAATATTTGTTTTTTAATCCTCATTCCGGCATCAATAAGCATAATTTTTTCGGATGAAAGAAATATAGATATTTTTATATGAACCATAAGAATTGCATATTCAAATTATTTTTTTTTAAAAAAAAATACAAGATTGGTCTATATAATATTGTTTTTTATGTTAGCACTAGCTAC